TGAAAAAGCCCTTCATTATTATTAGTAAGATGGGGCTCGAATTCTCTGCTCCTTTCCTGAGCAGTTGAGTGTTATAAAAGCTCTTCGATCCTGCCCGCCCTTCTCTATTTTGAGGGATCCCTCATATTGAGGATTCCAGGCTTCCCGGACTCATAACAGACGGCTAGGAACAAGAAGAGAGTCAGTAGTCTCTGCCGTTGCAGGTCCTTCTCCTTCCGCGGAGACGCCCCTCTTCTTTTTTGTTTTGTTTGTTCACCGCGGCACGACACGAAAGAATGAAAAAGTTGGAATAAGTAAGAAAGAGAGTGGCGCCTAGCCGTTGAGAGCGTCTGTTGTCTTTGTAGAGGATATAGTACGATCTTGGACTGGCCCCCTTCGCATGACCTAGAACGAAAAAGAAGTAAGTCCGTGCTACTATAAGGCCTCTAAACTCCCCCCTCAGGACACTGTTGCCTTGCCCATGGGGACGGGGTAGCCCCGACTTCCATAGGTCCTTGGTTCGACCTCCTAATGAGAATGGAGGTCCTTGCGCGGGCGTCTCATCCCTCAGACTTGCTTGCTCTGTATAGAGTGCCCCGTGGTTCCTCGAGTGCCAGCCGCAGAGAGGAATGCCATCCACTAGGGCGCTATTGGCCACTAACCACTCGCTCGCCGGCCGCTCGGGCTCCGCGTTTCAAGTTCGTTATCCTAACCGTCTCCTCTGCTCCACCGGGAGCCTGGCCCCTTCTTCTATCTTATCTACTGCCTTGCTCCTCGGCTCCCTAATGCTCCAGCCGCTCGCTGTAATAGCTTGCTTATCGGGTGGCTCGCACCTGGGGTGGTGCGGCTGAGCCAGAGTGGGCCCAGCAGTCGGCCTATGTTTCCGGGCGCACGCGTAAAGGCATGATTAGTTCCACGAATCTCACTGCACTGACCATAGTAAACTCCTTCTCGTTGTACCGAAATGACGGTCTGATTTAAACGACCAGGTACAGCATCACATTTGACACCTGAGGAAGGTACAGCCCAACTATGAGGTACATCAGCAGATGTAATAATAATACGTAGATGAGTTTTGGCTGGTACAACCACTCTATTGTCCACTTCTAATAAACGTGATTGACCCAATTCTGGATCATCTTCTGGAATCGTATAACTGTCAAAAGTGAGTGACTGTTCATCGGAACTGTTATAGTCCGAATACTCATAAGTCCAATACCATTGATGTCCAATAGCTTTGATAGTCATGGCTGGATCTACTACTACCTCGTCCATTGAGTATAACAGAGCAAATGATGGTATAGCAATGAACATAGGGATGATACTAGGAAATATGGTCCAAAGAATCTCGATAGTAGTTCCATGAACAATCCTTTGCGGGATTGGATTTTTTGGATAGTGGAAATGCCATAAAGCGCGAACCAAGATCCATGATACGAAAACCAAAATAAGAATGAGGAAGAAAAAGATATCGTGATGTAGGTCTATTATTCCTTGCATCATAGGTGTTGCTGCGTCTTGAGATCCTAATTGCCATGGTTCCGCTGCATCACAAGAAGAAATTGTGAGGAATAGCCATTCTATAAAAATCATTTGCTTTGCTTCATTTCTTTGACTGCTCTGCTCCCCCCCAAAAAAGAGAGACTTGTTCTTGCTCTCCCAATTCAGGAAGATGGAAATCACCGGTTGGGTTGGTCCGACCAAGAAAGGCATGGGAGTGAAGGAGCGTTGCTTGGGCCGAGTTAAGTAAAGACTGGCTGCCTATAATAGAATATAAAGATCCCTCACTGCACACGTTATATATATCTCTCTCCATTATCGGCTGCATGCTATAGTGTTGAATCGGAGATAGAACAACGGGTAGATTACACAATTCTGAATCCGCTATGACTGTCGTTTTTGATGTCGAAACGGTCTTTATCCATGAGCAATGAGTTTCTTCAATAGGAAATAGACAAGAATCTCACTTTGATGAAAGGATAGTATTTAAGGAAGTGACAATTCAATCATTCCATTATTATAAGCAAAGACCAGATTTCCCACCTCCATTCCACGTTGCACGAAAAAACTGCCTTGGGTAGTACCTTTTTATTGGAAAATCTTTCACGAAAGAAGCACACCCATCGGAATGGAGAGCTTATTTAAAGAAATACAGGTACGGGTACGTCTGTATAAAGTCTGCTTGTAAGTCCTTCGTTTGAAGGATTTGTCGATTCTGGGGCTATCATATAATCTTTTGAGACTGCTCTCGGCCTCCACATGTCAATCAAGATCCCCGCTATTATAATTAGCGAATAGCAATAGCATCGATTGGAATTGTGGCTTCTTACATAGATGGGTCACACCCTGAAAGAGGAGGTTTTAAGCCATATTTCATTAAGAACTTAAAATCAGTAAAGAAAGGACAGATGACAGACAACTCATACACCACCACAAGCAAAGGAATAAGAGCGGAAAACGAATTCATAACTGTAACGGTACCTCAAGACTGATTGCTATGTTGTTTGAGGTGAGGAAGAAAAGAAGCTGAACTACTCCTACAAATAAGCACCCAACTACAATCAAGGAATCCGATTTCACTCATTTGACATCCATATCAGACCGAACTTTTCATGTTTTCTACTACCCATCACCGAAGCTAAAGACTTACACAGAAGCGAAAAGACTCACTACAAGCCAACGACCCAGATTTCACTGAATAGGAAGACTCAGAAGCCAATGAATAGGATTTGACTCCTTCAAATCAGCATCTAAAGGGAAAGCAGAATCAGTTTCACTCATTTTCTATATAAGACAAGCTTCCACCACTCTGCTCCGGGGTCGGTTACTGGGACCTCACAACCGGTCCCCGTACACGACCACGGAACGGAGAAGAAAGGGCAGCCTAATCCTAGTCCTAGAGATGCAATTGGGGCAGATGGATCCAGAGCGAAAACGAGGAATTGGTCTTGCATGAGCGGTGAGGAATTCTTTAGGTTAAGGTGGTTTCGCTATAAAATAGGTTTCATTTCACTAATAGCACTGAAGAAAATCTTCCTCAAATGGGCGTGCTGCAATAGGTGTTTGTTTTGTCCTTCGCTCGATCATTCATACTCTTCCTAATAAGAGAGATCTCCTAAGAAACGCATATTAGGTAGCCTTGAAAAGATCAACCGTGAAGCCCCCATTATCAGGGATCGAGAAGAGGATGAAGAGTTGCCTACTTGGCTTGGAAAGACAAGACTCACAATGAAGGAGCTTGCCTTAGCAAAATCTGCATTTGCTCTTAATTTGCGTAGCTCTGTCTATAGTGTTGTGTTCTTGTGGTTAGTCTTCCTCAGGGGTTGCTCCCTCTAATGGTCCCTTCGGGTTCAGACTCGTCTCCTTCGCTCAATCGTCTGATTGATGCGTCGTGTCAAGCCGGGAGTGAAGAAAGAAGCTTAACTAACTAAACATCTCCTCGGATCAAGACTCGGATCTCTATTCCTGGAGCTACAGAAAGAAAGAAAGGGTCGATCATTCGAAATTCCAGCTTCCTCATCTGAATCAATTGCTTGACCTTAGTCCGGAAGTGTTAGTTCATCTTGAAAAAGGCTGGGTCTAGCTTTGGATGTTGAACTGGTCCTTGGATCGTGCTTGGTTAAATCATAGGACCTTATCCGTCAACCAAGTCAATTGCCATAGGAGATGAAAGCAGCTAGCTTCCCTAAGAAGCCAAAAGCAAGCGAGTTTACGTAGTCTGTTCTGCTAAACCCCAAAAACGAGAAGTGGCCAAGAGAGAAAACAGAAGACAGTGGAGTGCTGACATCTGCTTTGAAAACATATGGTAGCTTACCCGGAGCTAGCATAAGATCTAGCTAGACCTGTCTAACATCTTCGGGCTCCGGCTTATGATCTACTTGATGACTATGGAACGAGGAATCCATCACTCGTACTCTTAAGTCACAACTGTCTTTTTTCTATCTTGTATCCTCCTAGCACACTGAGCACCAACCCAATCTCGATTCAAATCAAGAGCAAAAGTGAGCAAGCAACGTACTCTTACTCTTTCTAGAAGAGCATGTCCTCAAAGAAGAAGTTCCATTACTGATTAGAATTCTATCTATCTAAATAAATAGAAAGCAAAGCGGTCTCGAATGTCTTATCTATTAATGGCAGCGGATAGGTGCAAATCGTTCAAAGGGGGGAACAACTGAAACTTGGTTCTCCACCAGCTGCGGCTGCGTATCGACAACCCTGCCTGTCACAACAATCACACGACCGTACTAGACCTTCACTGAGTAAGTCAAGCCCGTATTCGAGATGGTTAGAATAGTTCTGCCTTAGCTTCTTTATACTATGGGAAAACTCATACTGTGTAACCATTTCCCTGCCCCTAGAATGGAACTAGACCAGACAAGGTCTTCTCAGTAATCTCATCTAGCGGTTCTTGTAGAGAACATCTGTAATCTTCTTCGCGATGTTTGTTTTCTTCTAATATTCACTTGCCTTGCGAACCAGCCCGGAACGGAATGCTCGGGTTGGTTGGGTTGCAGCGGGCAGCCCCAGTGCGTTCGGTCGTTACGTCCTTCGGGCGTTCCCTCGGTTCGGAAAGAGAGAGAAGACCAGATTGGTGAAACATCTTCGCTTCCTACACCCTCCCATGAGATGATTGCCCTTGAAGAAAGGAAAGAGACAGCTTCTCTCTAATTGGACTTGGCATTTGTATTTGAGTGTTCAAGCCACTTCGACAGGTACTATACTAAATAGTATGGAGGAACCCTATGGGAGGCAAGCGCAATTACAAGAGCCGATGCTCAAGAGAAAGTGTGAACGGAACTTCGGGAATTTCGGTTTTTGTTGTAGTTGCCAATCTCTGGTAAAGAAGCTGTTCCCGCGCGTCACCCTTTACTAAAGCCTTAGACTCAAATGCTTTTCTTCGGGTCCATCTGCACCCGTTATAAACTGAAACCTAGAAATCTCTCCCACAGTCACTCGGAAATGGTTTCTTTTTTCGTACTTTTAGTGAGTGTGTGCCAAAAGAATCCCCAATCTCAGGGAAATATAACTCGATCTCTTGCACAGCATTTTCGATTTAGAAAGAGAGCCTAGCGCGAGCAGGGGTCTATCCGTCACTGCTTTGACGGTATGGGGGATTTTAAATATCACACATCCTGTGATACCAAGAAGGAGCTTCAGCGGATTGATCGGCCAGGCCCATTAGTAAATCCACACCAATTCTCTTCTCATTTTACACGAAATGAAACGGATTAAAGGTCTTGTCTACAACCAGGCAAAAGGATAACACTAACATCCTGTACTTAACGGGAGGAGAGCTCTCTAAGAAACTCTCATTTCAATCAAGCAGGCAAGCAAGCAGACCACCTACCTTTGCAACCGATGTAATCTGCCTTGTTGATCCACCTCTTACTAATCTCTCCGACTAAAAGAGAAAGCCTGCTGACGTCAAGCGTGGGAGGCAAGCAAGAAAAGGCCGTTGAGCGCATCGGCCATTATTTCACCAAAAAGAATTGTGTTCTATAATGGTGACTCCCCCCAGCGACTATGAAATGGAGTATAAAAATCAAACTCTTCTTCCTTAAACTCGAAAGGGGGCAGGCTCGTTAGCAAAACAACGCCTGTCTCAATCGCTGTGTCGGATACTTCTAGGATCCGTACCCTTCGTCCCATTGCATCCCTACCCCTGGCTTATGATATGAAAAGCCCTACCACATTTACAGAACGTGCTTGGCTAAGTTCGGCCCGTTCCAGCCCTTGCCTTATGTAAACCAGTTAAGGGGCTATAGTCATCTTTTTCTTTCAACGAAAATAGGAGATTTTCTTGCTGCCATGGGTGAATGAAGTGAGCCTGAGCCCACCCGCCTCTCCAACCAGCATTTCTGGAACAAAGAAGACATCGACAGCTTGCTTAAAGTGTTTGGCCTCAGCAATACATGGTAAGGACTGATCATGTAAAGAATTGGAAATGGATCAACTAGACTCCCAAGCCAAGGGTCAAGATTCTGATCTGAACAAAGCTCTTTCTTCAAAGCATAACGAGCAAAGACCCCTATAGAATGGGGCCTTCCCTCTATCACAGGCTATCACAGATGTTGGGGGGATTTACCTTAAGTTAAACCTTCATTTCCTACAAGTAAAAGAGCGCGAAACATCGTAGCAGGTCTATTTCGGTTGTTAGGCAAGGTCTGAAGGCGGGCCAATAATTGTACTACATTCTCGCTACTAAGCCCACGCTCATAATTACATACCGCATTTAAAGCTCAAATTTGCATCACTTGATCCGTCTAGCACCTTTGATTAGATGACCAAATTGACTGTCTTAAATAGGTTTTTCCATCCGAGTTGAGGTCTTGAGTAGATTGAGAAAGTCAATCCTATCCCATTGTTCGATCTGATCTGTCTTGAAGGCCTAATCTTTAGCAAACAGGCAAGGGGTGAGAGTGAGACTACCAACAAGAAAACAAAAACGAAGTTCATTTTACAGCTTTAGAAAGCCGGGCTAGTTGATGGTTCTTCCTCTTTGACGGACGCTCGCTTTTGGCTTTTTGGTTTATGGAAAAAGAGCCAGCACCACCAGCAGCGGCGGCTCCAGCGACAATTCCTTCTCCTTCAAGGGCGGAGCTCTACCAAAGGTATAGCACGTAAAAGTGCCCGGAATTAGCCAACTTTCTATCTGAACCACACCCCTCCAATTGACACATAGGAGAGACCTTTCGACCTAACATGATTTAAATCCACCAAAAATGATCCAAAAGGTCCTTGGTAAGTTTGATTTCACCTTTTCACGTAAGGCAGGCGAAGCTTGACCTCCTTCAGATACCTTAGAGAACTTTACAGGGGAGAGATCCTTGAAAACGAGACCTGTAAAGTTCTCCCTTCACTTAAGAAGTCAACTAAGATCTTGTTCGTAGTTCTTCTAATCGGTACAGGTACCCGCCCGCGGTAGGAGCTTTAGCTTCGAAGGCACTTCTTTGATTTACGCCATACATGGGTCTTTCTCTTTCCTTTTGTCAAGTGTAAGCGTTAACCCTGATCTGAGTAGATCCCACAAACAAGCAAGTTGTCTTTCTTTTGACTACGAGAAAAGTAACAAGGTTACCACCACACCAACAAAGCAACCAAGCAGTTCATGAATGTTAGGAAAGACCTAACTTGCCCATGATCCCTATTTG